GGCAAGCTAGCTGCATGCAACTTCGCATAAGCACATGTAAAAAAAACAATGAGAAAGAACCATAAATATATATATGAAGAAGGCACGGAAAGAATGAAAAAGCCTCCTGCCAACAGTCCTTCACTTTGACAAGCAGGGGCTAAGACATCCTGGGTAGTGATAGACCCCAGATCAACCTATGGTTTCTGGATGTATTTTTCTCCCTCTCTCCTCCTCCTTGCGCCATATGTGTCCCCTGTACAGGGAGGACACTGCAGCTTGGATTCAGGACTGTAAGGCTGTGTGAAGCAGCTCAGTGTGCCCAGGGTGGCACATCTTGGCAGGCCAGGTGAGGCTTTAGGGAGCTGGTGTTTTACTACCAGTGTCTGGACAACTCTTTGCAATGAAATGAGAGTACATTTGTTGACATACTTTCCTGGACACAGCAGAAATACCTGCTGCTTCAGGAGAACTGCTATGAGGACTTCATCTGCACACACCTGTAGGTCTAATTTACAGTACTGTGATACCACAGACTGGTGCAGAAGCGTTGCAGGGCTTTTGGCATGGTACTGGTATAGCAGAAATGGTCACCATACCCTAAGGGTGATCAGCACGGGCCCCTTGAAACAAGGGGTTGGCTGAGGCATACAGAAGCCAGGTCCTTTGGCTTCTTTGAACAGAACAAAAGCCACCAGCGAAGCACAGACAGGCCCAAATCACTGTGTGGGTTCTTTGATTTTAAAAGCAGGAAGGAAGCACTGGGGAAGGTGGCAGAAAGGAAGGAGGAAAAAAAGCTCAGTCACAAGAATAGCCATGAAGCTGGGACACATGGGGGAGGATACCGCAGGACTCAGAAGACAAGCCTCAACACAGGGAGAAATTGCTCTGGGTGATCCATGGAGCTCTGACTCAGTGCTGAGGAAAACACCTAACTGTTCCTTAGCTGAACTGAGACCCAGGTTTCCCAGGCTGCCCACAGGGCAGAACTTTAACCACCCTTGTGGGAGCAGTGATTCACCTTAGGGCAGCACAAAAGCCATGGATATGTGTCAGGGCAGATAAATAAAACCACAGATATGTCACAGCCGCAGGCATGTCAGTCTGCAGACCATCACTGCAGACCTGTGACTACAACCCTGGATGTTAAGATTTTAATCACGTATTCCCGTTCTACTTTTTGGAAGCCACAGCACTAATAAAATAAATACCACTTAAGCAAAGCACAGGGGATGGAGGGGCATGCCTTTCCCTTGCAGAACCAGTACCTGTTTGATGACACTGATTTATATTTATCTAAATAAGACTAATTCTCTCTTTTGATATAATTTCCCCTCTTAACCAACGGAGAGAGGGAGAAGGTTTAACATCCAGAGTGTTCTTTGTCCCCATTTAGAAGATGCAGTACACACCAGCAGCCATTTAGTTTCACAAAATTGCTGCAGGATACAAAGATACATCTCATATCCTGGTTGACAGCTTTAGCACAAAGCCACACAATGTCTGCCAGGGCTCCTTGGTAAATACTATATTGTTCTAGTGACTCAGTGCACTGGAATGTATCAGGTTTATTCATAGCTTTTCTGATAGAGTCTTTAGATTAGACACATAAACTTTTTAGAAAAAAAATAAGTCTATGGCTTATTATTATGTGGGACATACAAAATTCCTAGTTTCTTTACCAGGCTTATAAATACAGAGAACTGAAGCAAAAGGACAGGCCCTCAGAAACCTAATGGTTGTTTCAAGCTTCTAATAAGTAGGACTGTAAGAACATTCGAGAGGAGAAAAAAAAACAGATGTGAACCATGACCAAAAGTTACACTCAATACAAAAGAGGACAGAAGAGTAGTGAAGATGGTCAAAGACATGGAGCACCTTCTGTAAGGACAGTCAAATTAATTAGGACATTTTAGTCTGGAAAAGAGACCTCTGACAGGGGACATGGTAGGTAGGGATCTACAGAACCCAAGCCAGCATGGAACTGGCAAACATGCAAACAGCAATTCCCTAAACAGGAGCTTATTACAGCAAACTTGTTGGCAGCAGGTTCAGTTACCAAAAGGAGGTGGTTCATCACACAAAGCCATAGTTAAACTTTGAAGCATGTGGGACAGAGACCAAAAGCACATATGGGTTCAAATAAGAGCTAAATAAATTGATGCTAGATGAAGGCCATTTCTACCGTCCACTGCTGGAGACAGGACAGACCTCTGGCCTCCCACAGCTTACATGTTTGTTTGCCATGTTCTGAGTTTTTAATGAAGCAGGCAAGAGTCTATAGCAGTTTCTGAGAAGAACAGCAGTAAGAAGCAGGAATTCATGTCCCTCGCTGCCCAGCATGCCTCAGGAGGACCATAGGCAGGAGGTACGGGCAGCACAAATCCTCCTTGCGATACCGAAGTTACTGCTCTTGCTTAGCCTTCTTAATTGGAGTTGTGAGCCAAGACCACACAAGCACGTACACAGCTAAGCCCAGTGCTTGCACAGGAAGCATCAGACCTATGCTCACATTCATACAGATGATGCCACATCCTCATAGGAAGGGACCCACAATAAAACCTCCCACAATACTTAGCTTTGCTACCAAGCCAGGAAGTCTCAGGTGATGCTTGAAGATGAGTCTCCTGAAAATATTTTTATATTCCAGACACAGCCCAGTTATTTAGATATTTAGTGCCACCGAAACAGTCTTGCATAAGAATGAATTAAGGACTCCCTTGAAACAGGTTATTTTCCCATTCTGTTCCATGGCAATCATAAACAGACTGTGTTTCTAGCATCTCTTCTGTTCCAGCTCTCTGCCAAGAACAGCCCTTCGCTCAGCTATCTCCTACTGACCTAAACTCATACACGCAGTCTTCTTGCTTTAATCACAGTCTTCTGCCCTACAAAAGGACTCCAAACCTGAAATCCTTGTCTCCTCTATTCATTCCTCTAGCCATCAGGTCCACAAATGCATAACAGCTTCTGAAGGTCAATGCTGAGCCTGCTACACACGACACCAGCCATAATAAATGTTCTGCAGGCCAAATTATGCCCTCAGGGAAGCCTATGCAGCCCTCTGGCCTTCAGTGGATTGTACAGCTGTCAGACTGCAACTTACTATGTTCTACTTAAGATATGCAAGGAGAAAGAGAATTCAATGGTATTGACTTATTTTAGCTACTGAAGTCAGCAGATCTGACTCTGAACACATACTGGGATTAGATCTGTCGATTAAGACCATGGCACGATGGCACCGTTGGTCAATAACAGCATCATTTGTTCTTCACATGACCTCTCTGCTACTTCCAGTTTTATTATTCACCATCGCGATTGTTACAGTAGTAAAACCAGTCAGTACCAGCTGAGAAGAGAGTCCCCACTGTGTTTGGCACATAACAAAAGTAGGGTAAAAAGACTGCTCTGAATCCAGAAGTATAACAAGCTAAATCAATGCTGTAGTAGGTAGGAATAGAACATCTGAACCAAGGACATCCTGCATGCCATGCTATACTGGTGTCGTGATTTAACCCCAGCTGGCAACTAAGCACCACACAGCCGCTCCCATGGCGGGACGGGGGAGAGAACTGGAAGTGCAAAAGCGAGAAAACTCACAGGTTGAAAAAAGACAGTTTAACAGGTAAAGCAAAAGCCATGTGTGCAAGCAAAGCAAAACAAGGAATTAATCCACCACCTCGCATCAGCAGGCAGGTGTTCAGCCATCTCCAGGAAAGCAGGGGTCCATCACATGTAATGGTTACTTGGGAAGAAAAATGCCATCACTCCAGATGTCCCCCCTTCCTTCTTCCCCCAGCTTTATATGCTGAGCATGACATCATATGGTCTGGTATATCCCTTGGGTCAGCTGGGGTCAGCTGTTCCGGCTGTGTCCCCTCTCAACTTCTTGTGCAACCCCAGCCTTCTCGCTGGTGGGGTGGGGTGAGAAGCAGAAAAGGCCTTGGCTCTGTGTAAGCACTGCTCAGCAGTAACAAAAACATCCCTGTATTATCAACACTGTTTTCAGCACAAATCCAAAACATAGCCCCACACTAGCTACTACAAAGAAAATTAACTCTATCCCAGCCAAAACTAGCAGACTGTTACAATAAACTTAATTGTGCAGTGGTCTCAGTCAGTCCATGCAGTTCCCACACTCACCTGCTGTGTCCGCACCTGCATTTTACACCCAGAAGTAGAGTGTTTCCCTGCTTGCAGACACCTACAGTAGGCAGTTAACTATTTCAGTCTGACTATGCCACTGCAACAGATGGGCCAAGATGTTCCAATTAACCAGTACTTATTAGCAAGTCCCTCACAGTAGCAAGTTTAAAAATATTTGTAGACACCTCATAAAGCACGGCCTCGCTATTACAGCCCATTAGCATGCATGCAAGATATTTTAATGTGTAAAAATTCCCCATGAAATAACGATTTTCTCCTCTACTTTCAGAAAAAAACTGCCGTCCTTACCATGAACTAGGCGACACTTTCCAGTTCTTTTCTTACCCTTTCCAGCCCACAAGTCAAGCCAAGCCTCATTTGCCTGATTTCACAGCATGCCTTTATGAGTAACCCCTAAATGTGCCGTGGCAGGTCCCTCATCCACCCTCCTCACTGAGTTCAACACCTCCAACAAGGCTGGAATAGAGGAGGTGAACCTTTGCTCTCCTGACCCTAGAGTCTCCTCTGCTCTGCAGCACAAGAAGCTGCACATGACACATTGCTAAATTATGTGGCAACACCTTTAGTGTTGATTTCCTACAGCCTTGAGCAGGTACAAGACATAACTGCATCAGTTCTCCGCTCTGCTGAAACGTGCACGCTCCTGGAAGTGGAATATGAATAAAATTTACCACTTCAGATAAAAGGAGCTGGAGCACGCTTCTCCCAAAACACAAGTTAAGCCAAGGAAGCTTGTATTTCTAGGACAACATTGTCCAAGCATGCAGACTTAATGCTGCTCCCCAGTGAAGTCAATATTAAGCCAGTGTTAGGCACTACAGAAAATCTTATTCTTGAAATATTAAGGTACTTACTGTACAAGGTGATCAACTGGAAAACTGGAATCTGTTTCTCCTTTACCCAACTCTCTACTCATCTGTCTGGAGCCTGTTAGAGAGGGAAAAAGTTGTAAACATACACAAAGTGAGGAAAAAAAAATGTTAAACAATTTAAAAAAAAAAGTCAAGAAGTAGGCCAGCTAAGCAATGCAAAAACAAGACACAGCCACACATATCCCCAATACTGAGGTCAAGAACTGGAAGAGTTTGCAAAGCTCACAGCATGGTCTCTCAAGCAAATGCTGTGATGTTTGAAAACAACTATGGGACCAGCTGTTTCTGGACATTCTCAACAAGGACAGACCTGATCCAACCCAAGAGTAAAGCAAGATATTTATATAAGAGAGTAGCAGCAACAGCTACACAAAACCAGTTAACTACAGAGATAGTGACACATGCTGATCACCAATGCACCATTACACCTGTGGTCAAGAACATTACACAGGGAAACAGGTTTTTCCTCACTGGCCACAAAAACTACTTTATCAAGACACAGTCCTGAAGGGTTAGATGGGATGTGTTCTAGCGTGCACCAAAGATGTTCCTTTAATAGATTTGTTGTTTCAACACCCTTTATCCCCTTAATAAGGAACCACTGAACTTCTGCTTAAACCCATTTTGATTAAGCAAAAGATTACCCATAGAATTGTGCTGGGATGTGGACAAAAGAAAAACCCATTGCTAAACATACATGTTGGTATACATCACACACAGACCAATTATGCTTCAGGGAGACATCAAATCCCCGTTCAATTACTAGAGACACCTCTTAAGATGAGCATTAAATAATTCCCTACGATGTAGCAAGACAACTGGCTACTTCAGTAAATTGGAATAGAAATAACTCCACATCTCCCTACCAACAAAATCCCAAACAAAACTTGCCCTTAGAACAACAAGAGGTCAGTAAGGAGGGATGGGAGGCAGGAATGTTACTACTGCAGTACTATTGTATGCTTATATTAAAGACTCCTCATCAGAAAATTAAATGAAATGGATGCCTTTCATGTTTATCAATAACAGAGCTAATGGTTTTTATGTAAATGCCATTACTTTCAGCCAGATCTGCAAGAGACTCGAGCCATATAGCCCCATCTCCCCTTGCAAGCGACTCCCCTTCAGGCAGCCAATCTAAATGCAAATTATAATCAAATGGCAAAACCAAGAGTTTTCTGGATGATACTGAAAACATAAAACTAGGGACAAAGTATACATATTTGAGAACAACCCTCCTCTTCTGGAAAGACCTGCTGATCTCACATTGCTTTTTCATCCTGAACGTATATAAAAATTAAAGTATAACTTGGTTCTCATTTACAGTCATATTATTTACCCATACAGCAAAAGAGTACCATCTTCTATCATTCTATTGCCCTTGGTGTTAAAACAAGGAGGGGAACATTCTTCTACCAAGCTACAGAGAGAGGATATCTCTCAGAGATGTTTCACCCACAATGGGAGCATCCCATCTGCAAGGATATTAAATCACAGAAATAATAAAGCCCCCGTTGGACTTGGCAGAACGAACAGCACTTCCACATTTTCAGAGGGAAATTCCTCCTTGGAATAGAGTTGTTTAAGTCGGACGAAGAAGGTGTTATCACAGGATGGTTATTAGGAGGTAGAGATATAAAACTGTTGTCAGCACAAGGAGCACCATTCTTGCAGCATAAAAGCTTTTTTGAAGAACACTTAAATCCTGACCCCTACCTGGAACATATATCAAGTCAGGCGCTTTGTCGGCACTGATTAGAACAAGGTACTAACGGCAAATCTCAAAATAACTTAATACTAGAAACTGCACTGTTTAGTAAGTAGAATGCACAGAGGAGAAACTAATGATTAAAACAAAGGCCAAAAATCTGACAACCTGACTGTGGCACAAGTTTGCAAGTGAGGCTCGGAGGGGACTTGTTCTAACTACCACAAGCAGCTAAACACCAAAACTACCATTCCCAAGAGGGGCACATGTCCTCAGAGGGATCCAGCTAATTAACAATATAGCTATATACATGCTCGTTACACGGGTGAAGAGCTTAGCACTTTGTATGTTTTGAAAGTGCATACTACAGGAATATTCATAGAGCAGAACCTCGCTAATTAACATTAATAACCGAGAGACCACTTCTGCAAATGGCTGGATTTTGTGAATTAGCCAGCGAGAGAACATGTAAAGCTGGGAAGCCAGAGAGACAACGCAGCCCAGCAGGCGCCTGGCTCACTTCTTTGGATATCTATAATTAAATAATTTATCATTGTGCCTCAATGTCTACGAGTGAATATGCAGCCAGTAAATAAAGCACCTCTTATTATGCAAGGCCTTGCTAAATCTGATTAGTAGGGTTTGACTGCCCATCGAAAAAGGTCATTAAATTAAAAAAGACAACCCTGACTACCTTCTCTCAGAAACTTTTCACATGGGCCGGCATTTCAGAGAACTCATCGACTTCTTTTTCAGCTGTTCTGACATACTTCATGGTTGATCAATTACTCACAGATCTATTGTTTTATGCACCAAAACGCTGGCTTTCAATCCTTGGATCACAACTTGGAATTGCTAAGGTTCCCTTCTCCTCCTTCTCTTCCTCTGTAAGCCTGGTGAAGCAAGTCTTGGTGCATAGCCACATGGTGGGTCTTCTCTAGCAAAAGGAGACTAGGGCCCCAACTTGGAGCTTGTCACCACACCGACCACACATAGGATCAACCTGTGAGCAGCGAAAAGAGGAAGAAGCCCTTCCAAAACAAGTGCATCTTCTCCTTTCCCCAATTCGGACATTTCAGCAATGCAGTTCACAGTACAAGCCCACAAACAGATGTCCTGGCAAAAGCGGCGAGCAGCCGCGCTGGGACGCAAACGAGCGTTCAGGCATGGCAACTCAGGGAGATGACTCTGCCGCTTCAGAAAACACGTTGTGCAACCGCACAGCGGTGTGTCGGTGACGGTGCCACTCAGCCACCCGGGATTTCACACCCAGCTACCATGTGCAAGTGTAATCTGATTTAGCAGTCGTATTCTGACTTCAGCTGTCAAACCACAACCACGGTACATTTGATGCAGCAGCGTGCGCAGCAGTGTGCTTGCAAACCAGAGCTGTTCCTGTAGCAAAGTTATTTCCTCCCAGAACTGAAGGTTCAAAATCTGACACGGCGTATCCGTACATCAGCATCCAGCCATGCCACACACCCCCCAGCCACCGCTCACACGCTGCTGCACACAACCTCGACCACTGGCTTAACCAAGAAGTTAGGTGCCAGAAATACAAAGAAATTTTCCTTTGGGTGGCAGAAACTTCCAACAATCACTTGAATTTTGCAACTTTGCAAAGGGAAGGAACAAAACTGGAAATATTTCCCCTTGCAAACTGCTTCCTAATGGCTCCTGTTCTTAGCTGTACAATTCAAGACCATGCTAAACTTAATCAGCACTGTATTTTTTTATTTTTTATTTTTCCCCAAAACACTAACATCACATGCACTCACACACAGCCTGTGGCTTCCCCTGCTAAAGCTCAGGGTTTTCCTTTTGCAAGAGAGTTCAGGTTTATGCATGCCAAAATGGTCTGTTCAGCAGTCTTTTCTTACTGCCTTTTGTGAGAGACTTCACGCTATGATGAATGTGTAGAAATGCAAAGCAGAAGTCCATACAAAAAGAAGCTAGTGTGTGAGGTGGTTTTGTCTTAAAAAGAAGAGAGGCAGGAATGACTTATCGCCTCATTAAAGAGCTCCAGTCTGCATTTTTATTAGATATACTTAGACACCAACGGTTAAAAAGGAAAAAAAAAAAAAGAAAAGAAAAAAAAAGAGAAAGCAGTTATATTCTTAACATATGGCCCTGGATCAGTCACATGGATATAAACAAAAATAGGCACAGCAGATTCTCCAAACACAGGCATGGAAATCATTTTAATGGTGCACATGACCTAGAAAATTTCAAGTAATACCAATCCACACAAAGGTGTGACAGGATTTAGCTACTGCAGGGCTGTGTCTCGTCCCCATTATCTTGCATTGCACACGCCTGTGCATATCACAGATACCACAGAAGACAGTAAAAGGAAGCATAACTCCTGCTTGCTCCTAATAAACACGGACACACACTCACAAATCCTTTCTATTCTTCTTCTGAAGGAAAAGAAACTGCTCTCACTGCTGCCTGTAGGCAAAAGGTCCAACTAACGCTGAACTTCGCAGCATGCCATGTGTAAGGCATCTCAGCCCTTGCCTGGAAACACACCAACACTAGGCTTTTCACCACTCTCTCGCGCTAGGGTCTCACCACACCTTGCAGATAAGGTAGTTCTCCAGTGTTCATATTTGTCTGTTTTCCAACTTCATTACACAGAGTTTGAAGAGTCTGCAAGCTGTCCAATGCAGTAAAAGGGCAAGTCATGCTGTATTCATTTTCCAGTGGAGAAATTGAGGCACGGAAGAGGCATATTCTGCCTAAATTCATTTCTTATCTCAGTGGTAAAACTGAGCTGATGGCCCAGCCATCAGCCTCTTCCGTACCAAGGGTCTTCTACGACATTGCTGTAGCCCAGTGTCATCCCAGGCAGCTCCCTCCTTGTGCTGTGGCCTCTATCCTGCAAGAAACACGCAGCTCCAAGAGAAAACTTACTTCAAAATCAAGAGTCAGTGTATGTAATTCTGGCCTGCACAAAGCACAAATTACTAATATAAATGATATCTCCCTAGCTTAATGGCAATGATAAATTGTGGCCAATCATATAGGTAGACATTTGCACTGAACAAAACAAGGCACACCCAGAGCAAGCATGCCTTGCAACCACTAAACACACATTTCTGTGCCGTACGTGGGCAGCAACTGCTGTCCAGAATATTTTAACAGCAGAAACTGCACTGCTTGCTGTAGAAGGAAAAAAAAAACCAACACACCACAACACAAAAGAACCTGAATACATTCCTCCTCATAGTCAAAGCCAGAACATAAGAAACAAGCAATATAATTAATTCCACACAGAAGGAAAATAAACCCAAGAACACACATACAGAAAGAAATAAGCCTCCAAAACTGCATTTGCAAAATAGTTCAGGGACTTCTGTGTAGGGCTACGACCTCACAGCAGAAGTCGGGACAAACAAAAACCACAGATAAGCCAGCTTCAGGGCTGATACATGCTGCAGAGCCCATAGCAACCCCTCCTCTACCCCCTTTCCCCACCCCAGCGCTGGCTGGTTCAAAAAAACCCAAAACTCCCCTGCCCAGCACCCCAACAGCAGTAAGGCTAGCTAGCTGCAATATGTGCTGGCTCCATTTCAAGTGCTGGCTCCATTCCCCCCCACTAGTGACCCCTGTCATAGCCTGCAGCAGTTTCTGCACTGAGGCAGCACCCCAAAGCCAGCGCTGAGCCTGCAGTAGCAGGTGCCCTAAATACTGCACATCCTTCAGTGCGTGACCGAGTTTCAGTTTCCCTAAAGTTACCCTTTCTGGAGCAGCCTCCCTTACAAACAGAAAGGCAAACACTTTCCTCCCTTTTCCATCAAGCACAAAATACATCAACCCCATCAGTGAATGCTAATCCACCCACCTGCCCAGAGATATTCATCCACGAGAGGATCATCACCTCCATCCCAAGAGGATACATTCAGTGTGTCTGTCCCAGTACTGGTTCTCCAGCTAGGATAGTGCTGGGCCCAAAATCCTTGAAGGTTGCAGGCAAACAAACCTTTAGCGGGAACAGAACCGGGCTCTCACCCCACTGTGCTTCCTCCAGACAGCAGAAGCACGGCGGCTTGGACACACTCTTCACGGACAAGTAAAAGCACTTTAAGGAATGATTTTTTCCCTCCCTTCACTTTGTTTTAAATGGCTGAAGAATTTCCTCTGTGAATGCTCCCAATTGTGGCTCATGCTGAGTTATTTTTAAAAGCACAGAACCAGATTTTCAAGACACTGAATGAGGAAATGCAAAGCTTTTATTAAGCAATAATAGCCCAGACAATAGTCACAATTTCCCAAGGGTCTGAACACCGCAGCTGACAATAAGCTTTATTCCTCCACAAAACCCCCTTCATGGGCTCAGAGGGCTTGCTTTGTATGATCTAGGCTCAAGTTAGAGAGTTAAAACAAAAAGCTCTGTGGTCGTTTTCAGTGTGATTTCCTCCACCAATGCACATCTGACCAGAGATACAAAAATCAGTGGGAAAAGACCCTTTATGCTATCTCGTTCCTCCCTTTGTGAATGCAGTTAAGTCCTGCTTCAAGCTTGCTACCAGGATATCACCCCACCTAGCTGGACCTTTGCTTTGTGGTTGGATCACAGCTGACAAACTGGCCAATCTTTCCAGGGTTAGGAGAGTGAAACAAAGCCCTTCAACTTTCTTCATTGATATTTGAACCATCACACAATGACTCTCACTAAAATGGCCAGAAACATGCTTCAAACCTCAAACCCGCTACCACGTGGTATAATCAGATCCAGCAACCACATCGGCTCTTCCTTCTTCTGAAAAGGAGGAAGTTGCAACTACGAGGAGCTTGTACAGTCTCCAAAACTACCCTTGCATAAGCCACTTCTCATTCAATAAGGTGTCACAGTTGGCCACAACCAATTACCATTATGCCTAAACTAGCTGGTCTGGTGCTCTCCACAGCTAGCAAAAGAAGCAGGCACTTCTGGGGCACATAAAACTTGATTGGTTCAAGGTGTCTACTTCGGACAAGATGAACTGTGCTACAGGAATGGTTCTTTTTCTCTGCCAACTATAAAGCAGACCTCAGAAAAAAAGAAACAACTTTGTAGACAACTATATCAGTACACAAGAGTCCCAACCTAAATGTCTTCCACTTGAATGCTGCCCTCACCTTAACTAGCAGAGAAGCTAACACAATAAATTTGTTAGTTCTTCAAACCAAAACCAGACTATTTCTACTCTCCCATCATCTCTCTTCTTCCTTGTCCCAGCAAAAGCACAGTGCGGCTGCCCAGCAGACTGAGGTTACAACTAACCTCGCAAACAAGAGGAAAGCTTAGATTCAATCCGATCACTTCCCAAACTGGTCTACCACACAGCCAGGAGAGAGAGACCACAGGACCTCTTTTTTTCCAGCTTACCACAACTTCAAGGGGTTGTGAAAATATGTCCTAATCTTCTGCATATCTGTCAGTCATTTTATAACCAAGAGAGCGTATGTGCCCAAAAGGAGAAAATACTTCAACACCCTTCACAAATACCTGCAATGCTCCTGGCTGCTGGTGCACCCTCACCAAAACAACCACCACGAGCTGCAGATGTGAGATACACATGCCTGCTGCATCTCTTTCCCCCTTCCACCACTCATAGAGGTACACACCCTGGAAAATGGTTTCAAGTTTGTCTACAACTTCCTAAGGGAGAGAAAGAAAAGGTGTTTAGAGGATTTAATTCAAAATATGCTTCCTCCCCTTCCCTTTTTCAACCCTGCCTATAAAATCAGACATAGGGCAACAGCCTCTATCATCCCTTGTCTTTTTTACCGTAAACTTCAAGGACTCCTGACCCAATGAATCCCTTAACTTGGCTTAAAATGCTACTGAAAAATTATTAATAATTTGCTTGTCTGTAAAACAGCTGTCCATGTTGTATGTGCAAGCAAGTGCATATTCTGTCCAGAAAACTATGCAGAAGTTCAGGATATGTTCAGAAAATGGAGGTACTCAGAAATTGAGGATGCCGAACACACCCAGATACTGCCATTCAGAGAATTCACAGAGGCACTTTTTGTGCGGCAACATCTGTAAATCAAAGCATATTATTTTCCACCCTCATAATCAAGAGATTTGCTAGATTATCTAGAGATCTGTCTGATCATGACAGACAAAGCTGTTGAACCTCATGCAGCTGCTTGAAACACACACTCAGGCAAAGAGCTTACTCGTGACACCAAACAATAAACGCGTCCCCTTCAATGCTCACTTCCAATTAGCAAAACTCTCGGTGCGATGAGGAAAGAGCCCATCACAGCAAGAGGAGTGGCTACAGGTGACAAATGTGCGTGCCAGCAGCCGCTGCTTGGCAGACGAACCACAGTCCCCGTCTAACAAAGTGAGGATCAGAGGCAGACTGCAGTCAACGCTTCATCTGCAGTCAATGAGAAGCCAGAGAGACTGGAATATCATTAGGAGGACAGACAGCAGAACTTAAAAAGGCAGCCTTGACAGCGAGCGTAGCTTCAATTAACAAGCTGTATTTGCAAGGCTGGACTCCAAAATGCTCCTCAGCATCCAATCATCTAACTGTTGCTTAAAGACATAGCATTATAAGAAGGAATTGGGTATCAGTTGGCTGAACAACTAATCCCAGCCAGATGCTAAAACTACCAGCAAATAGGTCAGTCATATATCCTACACCATTCAGGGCCCTCCAACAGGCAACAGTCACGCACCACCACTCATGCACCTGTGAAAATGGTTTGAGAGGTTCCTTGCAGTCCTGAATCCATTTGCCAAATGATACCTCATATTGTGGTTCAGGGAAAGGCAAATCACGGCCCACCTCATTGCTGAAAAGCCTTTTCTTTGCTATCTTTCCAAATGATGTTACGCAACAAGTAATTCATTCCTACACATGTAGGAGCAAAAATGCCCTTCAGCATTAATAACAACTCTAGATTACTTAACAGAAATAAGATCATGGAGATTTTTATACAACTCTGCAAATTACTTAAATCAAGCAAAAAAGTACAAGGTTAAATTAAGACTCCTTTCCCGCTCTACCCTTCATGCCTGCCTGTGAGAGTACACACAGCAAAATTAAATACAGCTGTTAACTTTCAGATGCAGTATAACAGCTATTTATTTGGTCAACAGCCACCTGAATATGAGCCAGCAGTGTGCCCAGGTGGCCAGGAAGGCCAACAACATCCTGGTTTGTATCAGAAATCATGTGGCCAGCAGGACTAGGGAACGGATCATCCCCCTGCGCTCGGCACTGGTGAGGCCACACCTCGAGTACTGTGTTCAGTTTTGGGCTCCTCAATACAAGAAAGACGTTGAGGTCCTGGAGCGTGTCCAAAGAAAGACAACTAAGCCAGTGAAGGGTCTAAAGCACAAGTATTATTAGGAGCAGCTGAGGGAACTGGGGGTGTTCAGTCTGGAGAAAAGGAGGCTGAGGGGAGACCTTATCGCTCTCTACAACTACCTGAAAGGGGGTTGTAGCCAGGTGGGGGTCGGTCTCTTCTCCCAAGTAATGAGTGATAGGACAAGAGGAAATGGCCTCAAGTTGCGGCAGGGGAGGTTTAGATTGGATATTAGGAAAAACTTCTTCACCGAAAAGGTTGTTCAAGCATTGGAACAGGCTACCCAGGGAAGTGGTGGAGTCACCATCCCTGAGGGCACTTAAAAGATGTGTAGATGTGGTGCTCAGGGACATGGTTTAGTGGTGGACTTGGCAGTGCTAGGTTAACAGTTGGAGCTGATGATCTTAAGGTCTTTCCAACCTAAGCAATTCTGTGATTCTACAATTCTACGGAAGATCCAAGCACATAGCTCAACAAGCATGTG